AGTCGCTTGTCTCTGGGGTTTATTTAAAATCTGAATTAAAAGTTTCTGACATGACTCCAGGCCGTGTGGGAGCAGCAGGAAGCTCAGTGGAGGACCCTGGGACTTGCAGGCAGGAGCTCAGTGGAAACGGGGTTTCTGAACCCCAATCTATCTGCTGCCTCTGTGCCTGGGCAGGTGCAGCAGGCGGCCTCCAGAGCCCCGTGACCGGAGGGAAGTGATACCGTGGTGACAGGCTATCGGCTGCCGTCCATGCCAGGGCCATGAGGGACGCCTGTGCAAACAGCAGGGAGCTACTCCTAACTCCAGCATGTTTTTGTTGGATTAGAAAAATGCAGTTGAACTTGGAGATTTTCAGTTCCTTTAAAACATTCATGTTGCAAAGCATCATTTCCCAGCTGCCTTTAAACTCTCCAGGCCTGCGCTTGTGCAGGTAGAGAGGTGGCTGCTGAGTGGGGAGGAGGCAGCTCCGTTTCACAGTCTCACTCTCCTTGGTAGGAAGCCCTGACTTCCCAGGGGGCACTGCCTGGGAAGTATGGGCCTTGGCGCCATGACAGATGCTTTTCTGTAGGAAGGTCCATTCAAGGAAAGACAGGGCTGAGAGCGGAAATAGCTGATAGGATTTTGTGATTAATATGAAAGCTATTTAATATTCGATTAAATTCTAATATGAAAGGTAGTTCTAAAATGAAAGCTATTTCACATTCACCTACTGAAGAGAGAAAATGTGGTGTGTTGCTGAGTAGATGCATACCAAGAGCTCAAAGGGCGTGTGTGGGAGATAGCATCACCTGACCTGCAATCCGGAGGGCGTCCGTAGGTGGTGCCTCTGGGAGCCTGTGCCCCTGGGAGCCCGTGCAGCTGGGTACTCATGTCTCTTACGCCAACTGTGACGAAAGATGGCCGTGGCTAGGAGCAGGAGCACTGGCAAAAGTCTAAGTCATATGAGGGTGAAGCACTATCTCTAAATTAGCAGAAACAGCCAGGATCCCTTACAAGGGACGCTGAGAATTAGAGAACCATCTAATTTTAGAGCTGGGAGATCCATCCAAACCTGACGTTTTGCAGATAGGAATACTGTTGGCTGAGAAGAGTGTGATGACATGTCACGGTCCATTCAAGATGAGGAAGGCTGAGATCCGAGGAGCACAGTCCAGCTCCCTGTCCTTCCCCGCCCCCTCCCTGTCCTCGCTGGTGTTAGGTGGAGAGACGAGCTATTGCACATCGTTTAGATAAATCATGTAGATGCATCCCCTACAGTAAGGTGGTCGTTGGTCTCTTCTGACCCTTCATCAGCACCGAGTAAGGCTGTGGAAAGTTGGGACTAAGTCCCCCAATGATATAGGCATTTCTGTATAATAGTTCCTTGTCCTGCGAAAAATTCAGAAGGGCGATGTGAGTAGCTGTGGCAAGAACTGATATAACTTGATGCCTTCTCCAAAGATTGCATCCTATTTCGAGGAAAGTGCTCTGAGATTTTGATAGTAGTTATATTTCTATGTATATGGTGTATAAATATATACAGGAGGAGAGAGAGGTAGGCAGGGGAGAGATGAAATGCATATACACACACACACGTGTAAAATGAAATTATTAAAAGTATATGTTAATATATAAAATCACAACATTGGCAGCTCTTCAAATGTTAAATATAGAGTTAGCATATCCACTCCCAGGTGTGTCCCAAGAGAACTAAAAACGTTTGTCCATGCAAAACCTTGTCCACAAATGTTCAAGCACGAAGGGACAATAAAATGTGTATAGGCATAATATTCAATAATAACAATAGAGTATTACTCAACCATAAAAAGGAGTAGGAGCTTCGGATACACCACAACATGGATGAACCTTGGAAGATTTTGCTAAGTGAGAGAAACCAGACACAAAGGCCACCTATTCCATGATCTCATTTATATTAAATATCAAAATTAGGCAAATTCATAGAGACAGAAAATAGGTTAGTGGTTATGAGAGCCTGGGGGAGGAGAGAAGGGAGAATTTCTGCTAATAGGTATGGCTTTTCTTTTGGGGGTAATTAAAATCTGATGGATGCACAATTCTGTGACTATATTGAAAACCATGAAATATACTTTAAAAATATTTATAAGGTGTGCATTATATCTTAATAAAGTTCTGTTATTAAGTAGTAAATGAGTAATTTTTTAATTTTTATTTTCTATATGCCATGAATGACAAATTAAAAAAATATAATGGAAAGGACAACTGCATGATAAAATTCAAGAAATTTTTAAGAGGAAAGGGGAAATTTTTCTACAGATAGTAGTACATTATAAATCTAGAAAGAGACCTAAAAGCATGTATTTGGGAAGTAATATATAGTAAAGATACTGTTTTTCCTCAGTGGGAAAAGTATAGGTCATTTGTGAAATAATGGTGTTCAGCACTTAGCCACCCTTATCAGTTGGCCTTTTGGGTTGAAAATAGAAGAAAATACCCCTGGCAAGCTGGAGCAGAAAATGCCTTTAAAGCCGGGTAGGGAACGTCCGGCCTTATACGGACCGTTACATCATTTGGTCCGGCCCTGCCAAGGCCTTGGGGGTGAGTTCATTAAATGCTTGACCAAATAGAGCAGCTAATGTTCAGGTTGATAATTTTGTATGGCCCTGGACTCATGTTATAGACATCTACATGGCTCTTGACTGGAGAAAGGTTCCCCACCCCTGATGGAAAGGAAGGATACTGGGAAACAGCATCCGTGGGAAACCAAACTCAGAAAATGACCGCAACCAGAACATGCTGAGGAGCCGGGACAGCCTGTCTCGTGCCCCTGGACGAGCGGTGAGGCGGCCACAGTGCTGCGTCGCTGTTTCAGTTCTCCAGACCCACCCTGCGACCGTGACTGCGTTCTCAGGGTCCCTGCATGCTCCTGTCACTCCCTCCGACCCCGAGACGCAGCGAGCACCCAGATGCAGAGCCTGGGTGCCCGGCGGCGTGCTTACTGCTGGGGGTGGGAGGGGTGGCTGCCCACTTTTGCTACTAGAGTAGGGGGCGGGGCACTGGGGCATCAGCTCGGGTAGGAAGATGCCCAAATGCTGGAGCCCAAAATGCCAATTCCCACTAACGGTGGGGTCAGCACAGCTAGAACCGCCCCTATCTGTCAGAGACCGAAATAAACTCCACGTGGGTTCAGAATGTCACTGTAAAACCTGAAACCATGAAAGTATTTGAAGAACAGGCACGTGAATATTTATGTCGTCTTGGTTTGGGAACGTTGCTAAGCATGATGTAAAAATCAGAAAGCCATTAAAAATGTCAGTAAAGAATATTCTATGGCTCAGGAAGGGAATCATGGTCTGTGAAACTAAAAAAAAAAAAAGTACATACCAGAACATAAACAGTGGTTTTCTCTGCCTCCCTCAGTCAAGTTTATTGTTGTTTTTCAAGAGCTATTTTTAGTAAGTGGTTTGGTTGATTCTTTGTAAGAATCCAAAGATATCTGGCTCTGCACAGGCAAAATCTATGCTAAACTCTACGGAAGTGGAAACTCTTGAAAGAGCAGGTGATGAGGCCGAGTATGTAGACACCTCCATTTCTATAAAAATAATGTTAAGATGGCTGTTGGAATTCACTCCATCTGGGGGCACTTAAACGGGGAGAACTGAATAGTTGAATATGAGCACACCCGCGGTCATGATGTTTCTCTTGCCTCCCCTGATGTTTTTGTTTGGCTTGTTCTGTCTTGTCTTGTTTTAAAGAGAACCCATCTGCTTGACTAGCGATGGACCAGTTAGTGTAGGGCACCGGCATCTAAGGGGAAGCATTCGGGATGGAAAGACGGCTGGGCATGCTCAGTGTGGCCTTATCTCATCACTGTACGCT